CACATTCCCCAACTGCTGCAAAGGCAGTTTTTGAAATGTGGAGCCTGCAGCCAGTATTGCAGCTGGCACAGGATTGTTGGCCAATTAAGAATTCCGACTACCTCTGAATTCCATTAGGAGGGAAGCAATGGCTACCTTTTCTCTAGCTTCTGCTGCTGCTTTTCCTTTTGTGTTCTCATGGTAGCTCTTGGTTTTCACAAGGTCTTTTCTCCTTTATTTTCAGAAGAGGATTGTGTGTTCTTGAAAGCTGAAGAACAGATAGACCCTGGCAAGATCCTTATCTCTATCTCGAGGTTTTTTTGTTGTGCATGGATGCACATTTACTAGGCCATTCTGTTAATATTTCATCTGTCACTGGGAGGGAGAGCAAGTTAGAAGGGCAAGAAAAACACAGTATTCTGCACTGTAAGTAGCTATTCCTGAAATTATTCTGTATAAGACATTATATAGTTCAAAATGAAAAATGCTAGCATATGCAAAGAAAGAGGAAAAGGAAATACGCAGACTCTCTGGGTTACCTGCCTACTGCACACCTCAGCTCACTGCTTCTACCAACTCTACTACCTTTCCACAGAACAAACCATTTTTTCTACCCATTTTCCAGACATCATGCATTTAACAATGAAGGGCAGCACTGAGATTCAGGTACTCCAGCATTTTAGATCAAGAAAGCTGAGCAATTCAGACTGCCTGCTGTTGATCCTTGCTCCCTGAACCATCCATAGCAATAAGAGATGCTCTATTCCTCCATCTCCTGGACCCATTAGCTTGGGGGGTGGAGGTGGGTATCACCGGACATATCACAGCAACACTTGTCTCAAGGATTACAAGGTAAAAAAGTCAAGTTACAGAGATCAGCTTTTCAAATTTGGTCTGGAATATGCTGGATTAAGCTTTTTGCCAGGTATGTACCTGGTTTACAACCATTCAGGTTGGCATTCACCAGCTCTGGCTTTGAAAACAAAATGAAAACTTTTACAATGGATTGAGACTTTCCCAAGATGCTGACTTGGAAACTCATTTTTGCAGGTTGGGATGTCAAACTGAAGGCAACTGTCACTGCTCATGTAAAGAGACAGGGAAAACAGATGGAGACTACTTTGCAGGATGTTGTGCAGTAGATAAGGGCTAGAAATGGGAAGGAACAAGGCACATTTATTGTGCAATAACACGTAAAGGGTGAAAAACACATCCTCTTGCTGCAGGCAACTGCAGTCAAATTAGTGGATGTTGCCAATTAGTCTGCTGCAATTTTAAATGTATCCTGCCCTAGAAGTGAATAAACACTTCTGTGTGGTACCAGGCAAGCAGTGCCTGAGACTAACCCATCCAAGCAACAAAAGGGTGGTGTCTATATGGGCAGATGGGAGCAGAAATTGATCGATGTAATTCCTGCTCAACTGATCTGGATCTTTTCACATAGCACAATGCTAAATTATACAAACCTTTTCCAACAGCCAACA